CATGGGCAAAAAGTTCTCCAATCTGAATCAGCATTATGAATATCTTGATCAATTTCATCAAAGTAGAGCTATTAAACAGAAACAAAGAAGGTTAGGAAGAAAGAAATTGAATTACTCTTAAAACTCAAGAACAGGGCTTTTCTCTTATTGGGTATTAAATTGACTTGGAACAGTAACAAAATACACAGCTTGAGTTAATAGTTTTAAGGAAAAAAATGAACTTGATGACAGATATTATAGAATAGACCTTAGTCTCAGCCATCTTAATTAATGGATTCAAAACAAAAGAAATTACCTAATTAAGATGGTCCTAGAAGCGGCCCTTCTTCCCAATAACCATCATGGTCATCAGAAATGGAACAGCAATACCTTATCAATTTGTTAAGGCATCATTCAAGGTTTGTTTTACCACAAGCTTTTTAGACCTGTAAGAAACCCGCAAAACCAAAAGAAGAAAAATGATAAAGGAATTTCAAATCATAAAAGAAGAGGTTTCTAAGATCTAATGGGTTTACATTGTCAGATTAACTACCAATGCTCATTCGTGCAAGATGCACATATCATAAATCCAAGACGGCCAAGTGCAATCAAAGAATACCCTCTAGTTTATTGAATGCAACTGTAACTATCACAATTAACTATTACACAATTCCCAAAGCCAGTATTACCTTAGAAAGATTTCGGAAGACTATTCACGTCCTTCTCTTCACCATCACTGTCACCCACAACTGAAGAATTCCTTGCAATAGTCCCATGGATTTGTATTAAATCATCCAAATCCCATGGCTACAAAAAAGAAATGCATAATTATAATGCATAATACTAATGTTAAAATCCTCAGAAAAAGATGACCAATTCTCCCACCAACAGCTTTTGCCCTAGCAAAATATAATAGCTATTTTTTTTTTGGTCACAAAAATAATAATTATTCAAAGTGATCACAATTACAATATTTTACTTTGAGCAAAATGGGTTGAAATAGATCGACATGACAAAATACGTTGGTTGATTCTATACGTATTTTTCATAAATAGCTTATATTTTCCTAGGATCACTTTGCAAAAACTAAGTACAAAACCAAAGCCATAATGCTGAGAATTTGTTGCCAAGCATACATAAGTACAAAGGGGAATGGAAAATGGGGATTTAAGCAATCAGAAATATTTTCATGAAACCAAACGGAAATACAATTACTGTGAGTCTAAAGGGTGA